CAACAGCCCTCCGGCCAGGTGGCCGGCGCCTATGTGCACAGGCATTTGGAGGTGCTGGATACGCACCCAAATGTTTAGATGTGCCCAAATTAAATGAAACTTTAAACATGATACAATTTTGCTCATAGATCCCTCTAACACAACTTCACAGTGCAGAGGTACCGGGTTCGATTCCAGCTCCGGCCTCCCTGTGTAGAGTTTGCATGTTCTCCCTGTGGGTTTTCTCCGGGTACTCTGGTTTCCTCCCACATTCCAAAAACATGCATGGCACGCTGACTGAACACTCTAAATTGCCCCTAGATGTGAGTGTGTGTGTGTGTGCGCGCGGACGGTTGTTCGTCTCTGTGTGCCCTGCAATTGGCTGGCAACTTGTTCAGGGTGTCCCCCCGCCAACTGCCCGAAGGCTCCAGCACGCCCCGTGACCGTTGTGAGGATAAAGCGGATCAGAAAATGGATGGATGGATGACTGTTCCAACGTACTGTATGCTTAACATTCTAGTCACATCGCGGAATCGATACTCGTCACTCGAATATGTAGTTGCACAATTCGGCCTGCAGATGACAGTGTTTCAAACCAATCTCAATGCTGGAGCAGCTTGTGGTACATTATTGAGTATAAAAACCTTGCAAGAAAAATGAAAATCACGTACACCCAAGGTTAAAAAAAAAACCAAACAAACAAAAAAAAAGAGATGACTGACAATCAAGGCAGCCAAAATATTTGGTACTGGCACGTTTACATACTTGAAATGTATCCAAAAAATAAAAATAAAAATCGCTTTGTACAGGGTTTACTTTTGTGATGCGGATTTTGTAAAGAAGTACAGGCAGGTGTACCAATGAGGTGCCTAAACATCACAATCCTTTTTGTGCAGGTGCTTCCTGCGCATTGATAAAGGCTAACCCCGCTCAATAAAACCTGGAATTTTCGCACACACTCACACATGCATACAAAAAAAAAAAAAGAACCGTCCGGCCATAAAAATGCACTTCGACGCCTGGAAGCAGAGCCAGTGGATGACGCCAAAGAGAGGCGTGCACGCTACGTGAGGCGCACACGAACTGAGGCGTGCGCGAGCGAGCGCGCGCGGGGGGGGGGGGGGGGGACGCGTGGTGGCGTGGGGCGGGGGGGGGGGGGGGGGGGGGGGGGGGGGGGGGAGAGAGAGAGAGAGGGAGAGAGAGAGAGAGAGAGAGAGAGAGAGAGAGAGAGAGATTAAATGTTGGCTACGGGGGAACATGATCAATGCCACAGTTGGGCGGGAGGGTCACTTGATGCGCGCCACAAGCTGCTGTGCCGGGCTACCACGCGTAAAAGCCACGAAGCGTCTCCAGGCGAGCGCACGCACGCACGCACGCTGACCTGACCGGACGTCTTCAAGTGTGAGTCTCGTCATCTTTATAGGTGAGTTCCTTCTTGTAACTAAGTTTAAAAAAAAAGGTATGTTTGTGGAGGATACGAGTAGTAGTGGGCTGATGTTCACCAGATTGGTTTGGTGCGTTTGCTGACTGCTGTAGGGGGGACGAATTTTGAACCCTTCCCCTAAATGTGCATTGATTAATCACCACTGTGCACGTGGGACAGACACACACACCAGTCTGGGAGCACTGGGATGGAGATAAACGCTGCACATGCATGCACACACATAGGACAGTAACAGTGTAGTACAGTGCCAAGCTTTACATTGTATCATTTAGAAGGGATTTGCACCCAATGAAACTCCGCTCTCTTCCTGCATGCGAGTTGCCTCTCTCCTGGGTTGTCCTTATCTGGAGGGCCAGTTGGAGCCGCTTCTATTCTTCTTGCTCTTCTCCTTCTTTTCCCCCGGACCTCTCCAGAGGGGCTCGAAGCCTCTGCTGGAGAGGAGGCGAGGCTAGCGTTGGAGCTAAGTCGTCAGCCTCAGCCGTAAAGGCAGCAGCCTGCACTTTTATCAGTCGCCTGCTATATTTAGAATTCAAATGGGTGGAAGTGTGAATGGGCTTTGGGATATGAGCGCTGCTCATCTGAGGGGCAT